TTTTGGTGGCTCACGCCTGTAATCTCAGCACTCAGGAGGCAGAGGCAGGAAGATTGCCTCGAGTTTGAGGCCAGACTGAGCTACATAATGAATTCAGGGGCAGCCTGAACTACAAAGTGAGACCCTGTCTCAAAAAACCACAAAAAAAAAAACCAAACAAACAAAAAAACCCCAATAAATATATATATTTATATATACAGAGAGAGAGAGAACCAACAAAGTATGCACCGGGGAATTTAGCTCAGTAGCATTGCTGCCTGCCTCACAAGTGCAAGGCCCTGAGTTTGATCCCTGGTATAGCCAAAAACAAAAAAAAATGTATACACAATTTAGGAAAAGAAAAAATTGTATAATTTAATACTAAATTTATTGAGACATCTTGAGATTAATCCATATTGCCTTTGGCATCTACAATTATTGAAGGTACTCAAAGAGGTGGCCAAATTCCAGAAATTTATTAATACAATGGGCTGCTGAAATGTGTATACATTTTTTTGGCTCTTTCATCTATATAAAACATTTTTTATCTTTTCATCTTGTCTGTACAATTACAGTGTTCCTGTATCTCAGCTAATGTGAGTAATGTTGGAATGACCACAGAAGTGTGGATGTTTTCTCAAGATAGTCATATCATTTCCTTAGAATATATACCAAGAAACATGATTGCTGGGTCATATGATGTTCCTATTTCTAGTATTTTGAGTAATTTCCATAATATCTATACCAGTTTATTTTCTCACTAAGAGTATACAAGGATTCCCTTTTCTCCACACCCTCAACAGCACATTATCTATTTATCTTTTTTTTTTTTTGAGACAGGGTCTCACTATGTAGTTGAGATTGACCTGGAACTCACTATGTAGCCCAGGCTGGTCTCAAACTCACAGCGATCCTCCTGCCTCAGCCTCTCGAGTGCTGGGATTACAGGCATGCACCACCATGTCTGGCTCTCTTGTCCTTTTTATTATAGCCATTCTAACAGATGTGAGGTGATACCCCATAGTTTTGGTTTGCATTTTGCTGATGAGCAATAATATTGAGTGTATTTTTATGTCCCTATTGGCTATTTATGTATCTTTGGAGAAATGTCTGTTCAGGTCCTTTGCCAATTTTTAATCAGATGATTTATTTGCTATTAAGGTGTATGAGAGCCTCATATATTTGGGACATTAACCCTTTTTCAGGCATATGGTTTGTAGATACTTTCTCCTTTACCATTGATTGCCTTTTCTTTTTCTTGGTTTTGTTGTTTTCTTTTTCTTTTTTTTTAATTTTGTTGTTGTTTTGAGATAGAGTTTTACTATGCAATTCAGGTTGCTCTCAAACTCACAAGGATCCTCCTGCCTTGGCCTCCTGAGTGCTAGGATTACAGGCATGTGCCACCATGCCTGGCACTTTTTCATTTTGTTGATTGTTGCCTTTGCTGTGCTCAATCTTTTTAGTTTGTTATAGTCCTACTTGTTTATTTGTGCTTTTGTCACCTGTGATTTTGTGTTATATCCAAAAGAAAAAAATCATTGGCAAGACCAGTGTTTAAAACCTTTTCCTTACATTTTCTTGTAGAAATTTTAGTTTCAGATATTGCATTTAAGTCTTTAATCTATTTCAGGTTAGTTTTTGTGTATGATATAAGACAAGTATACAGTCTGCAGTTTTTCCAATGCCATTTGTTGAAGAGCCATCCATTCCCCTTTGCATATTTTGGTGCTCTTATAAAGATCAAAGTAAATTTTTTTTTTTTGTACTGGGGATCGAACTCAGGACCTTGTGTTTGCAAGGCAGGTGTGGTGACACTGAGCTAAATCCCTGGCCTTAAAGATCATTTGATTATAGGGGATTTGTTTCAGGACTCTATTCTGTTCCATTGGTCTGTGTCTATTTTTGTGACAGTACCATATTCTTTTTTTTTTTTTGAGACAGGGTCTCACTATGTAGTTGAGACTGACCTGGAACTCACTATGTAGCCCAGGCTGGTCTCAAACTCTCAGCAATCCTCCTGCCTCAGCCTCCCAAGTGCTGGGATTACAGGCGTGTGACACCATGCCCAGCTACTACCATATTCTTTTGATTAATACACCCTTCTAATATAATTTGAGATCAAGAAGTGTGATAACTTTAATTTTATTCTTTTTTTTTAAAGCTTACTTTGGTTTTGAGGTCTTTTGCAGTTTTCATACAAACTTTAGAATTGTTTTTTATATTTCTGTTTTTAAAAAGTGCCACTAGAATTTTAATGGTGACTGTGTTAAATCAAGAGATTGCTTTGGTTAGTATAAACATTTTAATAATTTTAATTCTTAGGATATCTTTTCATTTATTTGTGCTTTCCTTAGATTCTTTTGTCAGTAATTTATAGTTTTTAAGGGATCTTTCAATCCCTTAGTTTATCCATAAATTTTATTTTTTGTTGTTTTTGATGCTGTCATAAATGAGATTGTTTTCTTAATTCCTAATTCAGACAATTGATCATGGTGTCTGATTCTTTTAATATGGTATTGAATTTATTTTTTTAGTATTCATTGAGAATTTTTCCATCTGTTGAGCAAGGACATTGACTTGTAATTTTCTGGTGGTATTCTTATCTGCCTTTGATATGACAGTAGTAATAAAGTCAATTATAAAGTGAATTTTGGAAATATTCCTTCAATTTTTGGAAGAATTTGAAGATTTGGATTAATTCTTTTAATTGCTTGGTACAATTCACCCATGAACTATATGATCCTAGGTTTTTTGTGGGGGGAGATTATTGATTACTGCTTAAATCTCCTTAGTCCTTATTGATCTGTTCAGATGTTGTTTTTCTTCCAAGATTTAGTCTTCAAAGAT